CAAAGTTCACATCTGTGCTTCAGAGAGTCTTTACAATTAGTCATAGACTCATGGCACCTAAGAAACTTCTTATTGGACAGATTTCTTCCACAGTATTTCATTAATTTGATGACTATGGTCAATAGAATTTTTGCCCCTGATCTCCTTTTCAGCGTTGTGTTTTTTTGTTTGTTTGTTTTTTAATGTAAAAGAAACCAACTAATTTATGTATGTTGACTTGCCCCCTGCCACTTTGCTGAATTCTTCTATTTGTAACATTGACTTTCTTATTTAATCTTTTGAATTTCCTCTGCATAGCAACTGAAAATAAGGATAATTTTGCTTCTTCCTTCACAATTTAGGTATCATTTATATCCCTTATTTGCTATAGTTCTCTGGCTAGGATTTTCTAGGTAGGATTGCTAATGCAATATTGAATGGAAATGGTGAGAAAGTTTCCTTGTTTGATTCCCTATATAAAACAAATACGTTCAATCTCTCCTTTGAGAATAATGCTGCTGTTGATTGTGTGCATATATCCATCTTCAATTATGCTGAAGAATTTCTCTAGTAGACCTGTTTTTGGGTTTTTTTTGAGAGTTATTTCTTTTTTCAAATAGGAATGCATGTTTAACTTTACCAAATATACTGTCTATGTCAATTAAGATTATCATGTGATTCTTTTTTAAAAAATATTTCTGTGTTGATAACATTGATTACTTTTCTAACGCTAAATTATCCTTGTGGTTTTGAGATGAGAATCCTTCATGGTCATGGTATATTATTTCTTTTAAATATATTATTGAATTCTATCAGCTAGAATTTTGTTAAGAATTTATATAACTGTCCTCATTATAGGATATTTGGTAGCATACTATTTTACCTGCTGGGCTGCTAATCAGAGTTTGAGAGTTTAAATCCACTAACTACCCTATAGGAAGGTCTGGTGGGGAGCTCTGGTGACCTAGGGGTAAGGAGCTGTGCTGTAATCCTAAAGACACACAGTTCAAATACACCAGCTACTCTGCAGCACAAGGGTGGACAGTCTCCTCCCATGTGAGTTATTGCTTCTGAAAACCTGGTGGAGGATCAACTGTCAGTTAGTTTCAACTCAACAGCACACAGGAACAACGAGACACACTGTGGAAGGAAGATGTCTAGTCTCCTATAAAGATTACAACATCAGCAAATCAAAAGAGTGTCACTTGAGTCATAACTAACTCAATGGATATACGTTTGGTGAATTTTCATATCTTTATTGTTGTTGTTGATGATTACTGTCAAATCAAACACGACTTTATGAATGAAAGGTCTGAAGCCTTTCAATAACTACCTTCATTTATCATAATTCATAGAGTTTGCAGAGGCGTGTTGTTTAGGAAGTGGATGCCACTACTGCTCCCAAACCTGTCTTCAACTGGGAGCTCCACCAAAAACTGTCCACCATGAGTAACTGTTATGGCAGTTGACACCCCAATGGCACAAGGTTCAACATCACAGCAATCCCAGGTTACCTTAGTACAGCATATTGACAGAAGTTTGCTGTACCACTTAGAAGAATGTTCCTCTAAAATATAATAACAACCAACTTTTAAATACAAAGTCCCTCTCCAAGGTCTTGTTGACTCTAAACAAGAGACTTAAATAAAAACCAACCCACATAGTATGTTTTGTTATGTGCCGTTGAGTAACCTGCAGCATATTGTGACCCTTTGTGCAGCAGCTTTGAAGCCCTCCCTGAGCCAGTCTCGCTAATTCTGATACACCAACCCCCATTGCCCCAGATACTGTATCAATTTTTTATAACTTTCTTTTTCTGTGCTTATATATCAAAATTGGGATTATTCTTCCTTCATAGAATTAAGACTGGAGTATTCTTTCCTTTTGTGTGCTCTAGAGTGCTTTGATTAGTATTGGTGTTATCCCTTGGAATGGTTGATAGAATTCTTCAGTGAAGCTACCTACACCAGAAATTTTTGTTGTTGTTGCTAGGAAGATTTTTGTTTTCACCTTTTCAAGCTCTTCTTTTGTAATGAATTAGTCTCCTTAATGTTTGAGATTTCCTACCTCCCTACTTTAGTTTGCCTTATTTTATACATAGTGTGCTTCAGAAATATTTCCATTTCTTCTAGGCTTCAAATTTGTTGGAGTACAATTTTGTTTCACTTATCTGTGTCTGTCACTGTACCAGTACCATGCTGTCTTTATTATATAACTGTGTTAATATTATATGAGTGTGAGGTAAGGTAGTGTGAGGCCTCCTACAATGTTTTTCTTCTTCAGTAATGTTTTGCTTTTGGGGGGTTTCTTTCCATTCCAGATAAAATTGGAAATTGTTTAAGTGTGTCAGAGGTAATAAGGATGGTACAGGACAAAACAGGTTCAGATCTATTGTTTCCAAGGTCACCGATTTGTACTTGAAGACTTAACAGCAATAGAAACAGCTCATTCATATGCAAGTCAATATTAGGGACAAACATTCCTTGACTTAATGCCACCATTATGTATTTTCATCCATATTTCAATAATAGGTATGTAATAGTTTTTTAGGCATTGGAGCTTTTGATAAAACTGATTGATATACGATATCAAACAAATGAACTTTGTTAATATAAGTATTACAAGCTATGATTCTATTTTAACTAATTATCTCTGTAAAATTATAGTTTTTACCTAAAATGGTGCTGTAGAGGTTTTGTCCCACTTTTTATGATACTATATTACTACTTAAATAAATTACTTACTTAAATATGAATTAATATTGCCTTCTATAGCCTATATTTAACATTAGTCTTTGAGATATTCTTTCTTCAAGAAAACTAAAGTACATTACTTTTTGAACACTATTTAAATTTTTGCATTTCTTCATAGATTCAACCATAAATACTTGTGAATTAATCTCAACTCCTCAAAAGGGCTAATTTTCAGACATTTGGAGATTTCATATTATTCACAATTATGTCATATTCTCCAAGGTGCAACAATGATTATTTACAAAGTTCACCATTTTTCACTGATCCAAAATATCCAATTGGTTTTTTGTTCTCTCTTGTGGCTTTTTATTTTTCCCCACAAGGCAAGCAATATTGAACCACACAAGAGATCTAGTTTTTTTCTCAGAAAAAAATATACTCCAAATCTAACTTGATATGTGCATAAAAGAATCACATATTACAATGTAATATGTTCAATGTTCCTAAAATGGGTTGGGGAGCTCTAGGGGTGTATTTCATAGTAAGTTTCACTGCTAAATCAAAGGCTAAACCTCTCCTATGGTTTGAATCTACCAGCTACATCAAGGAAGAAAAGTAGACAATCTTCTCCCTTGCAATTTAGAGCCTTATAAACTCAACGAAGGACCATCTACAACTTAGTTTTCATCCAAAAGCAATGACAGATAGAAAATGACCAGTTCTATATGATGCATTTCTAACTATGACATAAAATAATTGTAAATGTGAACTCAAGTACAAGTATAATTAATGTATCTACTCCATTTTTTTGTGTTTGTATGTTTGTTTTTATTTAGGGATGCATTATTTAGGCTAACTCGGTGGTGTTAATGGGAAAAAATGGTACTGTTGTATGACATTGTCTTCATGAGTTTCTATTTGGAGTTTTAGCCAAAACCTCTATCACAGCGTTTTACTCCATATGTATTTATCTTTGTATTTTCCACCCAGAGATGGCAAAGGATTCATTTTCACTGTGGAGATTATTAGAACCTGAACATTAGAGTGGTAGCAGGGATGGTTTGAAGTTTTGTGTTTGCACTATTATTTGGGTTTTTACCTAAATTTTAGAGTGGTGTATATGAGTACTTACTGCCTAAATGTTTGTTATTGGACATGTTAAGTATGTGGTATAGGGTCTGATTTAGAGTTAAATTACTCCATTTTTCCTTTCAAAACAAAAAGATCCCTACTGCATATTAAAAGACTGGATAACCTATGTTCTAGTACTTACTTTGCTATGTTAGGTTTGCAGGTTTCACCTTAAAATCGGCAAAAGGTAAATAATCCTATTCATGCCATGAAACCCCAGGATTAATCAGCTACAAGACATTTATGCTGGAATAATTACAATGATCGTTAATTGTCAGCACCTGAAGGAAGAGGAATATTTTGTTTTAAAACTTCAGTCACTCTTGTAATTCTTATTTTAGAATAATAATCTAGAGAAAAATGCATTTTCACTTCTCTCTGTACACGTGCAGCTTGTAATGCTGTTTTTTTTAATATCTATGCCATTATATGTAAATGTATAACCATTAAATCTAATTTCAATTTGCATCATGTAGTATGATTTTGGCAAAAGGGGTCATGTTTTAGTTGCTTGAATAAATGGATTTAAAGTATGCTGCTAAAATCTAATTATAGAATATCAAATAAGAATGTGTTCTTTTCTTTATGTCTTTTAGCATCTCCGTCAATTAAACTTTTGGTGGATGATCCTATAGTTGTAAATCCCGGAGAGGCCATAACATTAGTATGTGTTACAACAGGAGGCGAACCCACACCCTCTCTCACCTGGGTCAGGTCTTTTGGGACACTGCCAGAAAAGACTGTTTTGAAAGGAGGAACTTTGACTATACCTGCCATCACGTCAGATGACGCTGGTACTTACAGCTGCCTGGCAAACAATAATGTGGGAAACCCTGCAAAAAAGTCCACTAACATCATAGTGAGAGGTAAGTTTGTTTCAATTATATTGTTTCAATAATATTGATAAATAATATATAGGTTGATTTATTAGGGAGGGTATTACAAAAGCAAATTATTTTTAATAAAAGCTGTTTGCCAAAATAATATGTATGTGTGTGTTTGTGTATAATATTAAAAGAATATGGTTAAAAATGATGGGATGATATGCTATTATTAATGGATACTAACAATAACAAATTTTAATAGCAATGCTTTGTATTTGAATTAGTTTTCAAATATATATCTAGTGATACCATTGAATATTATTATAATATGTATTCAGTGAGAAAAAATTGAAATGCAAATAGGGTATAGAAGATAATGTTATTACATACTTATGTATTACTTTGTGAATTTAAAAAATGTTATTGAAGGTCCATTTAGTAAGTTTCTGTTGTAACCAGAACTTTAAGCTGTGAAGTTAGAGAGAGACCCAGAAAATATTACCTTACCCTCAAAGATTCTACTTACAGATAGTGAAAATAAGATACCATGCAATATGGTATTTGGCAAGCTTAAGCAAAAAATAAATAAAGATGAGAAGCTGTAATTACTTTTTCTGAAGTTATTCAGAGCTATATAATTACAAGTGGACAAATGTACTGTACTTTATAATCTGGATAGAATTTTGACAAAATGAGACTAGAGAAGATTATGGGAGGAAAAGTTTTTACTTATTTGAGAGGTTCACATAGCATGCGTTAGTCAACAGTAACAGTGGTGGTTTAGTATGAGTGTAATACATTATGTATACATCTTGCACAGTTGATGCAATATACTGTGGACACTATGTCCCTATTTCAGAGTATGTTATACAACAAGAGCATATGCTTTTTCATGTTTTACTCGAACCTAAATTTGGCAAATATGCTTCATATGTCCAAAGTGGCTGCTTCTAGCACGTAAATGAAATAATCACTCAGGATAAAGGTTTATAATGAAAAGAAAACATAATTGAGTATATCAGGACTATGCTGCCAACCTAAAGGTAGGTGGTTCGAAACCACCAGCTACTCCATGGGAGAAAGATGAGCAATCCTGTGATTGTCTCCAAAAACTCACTGGATATTCAGCTATGAATCAGTTCTGACTTGATAGCACATAACAACAACATTGGAGGATTAACATTGGTGACTTTGTATATTTGGATTGGGGTTATTTTAGTTGTCATACAAAAACAAGACCACAGCCATTGATCCAGTATTCAGTTCTATCTGTCCTTTCGGCAGAGAGAACTGCTGTACAGAATTTAAAATTCTGTGATATTTACAGAAACAGGGTGCTGCAGCTTATTATGTTGGAGCAGCTAGTGATTTTAAACCGATACCCTTTTGATAGTAGTCAGGCGCTTAACTGCATCATTAGTACTACTTAAACCTAATTCACCTCAAAAAAAAGAAAAAAGAAGATGCACTCAGAGAATGATTTATCTCTTCCCCTTCCCACAGTGTTTTCATCTGTGTCCTTTTAAAAGACAATTTCCAACTTTGATGCAAATGATTTAAAAGAAATAAATCCTTAAAATATATTTTTTCCAATCTCTCATGTCTTTTATGCCTTTAATTTATCTGCAGTATACATCTGCATAGTTGTATATTAGACTGACATTTCTCTGCAGTGGCATTCACATAATTCATAAAATTGAGTCTTTATATAATCTTGCTGAATATAGAAAGAACCTCGGTTAACAGGTCCAAGATTAAACTGTAGGGGGAAAAAGTTCTGCAATAATGTGAGGCATCTTATTTCTGCCCACAGAGGCCAAGAAATTCAGTTAAGGAAAAGTGGTTTTCTTTTTATTATATCAAAGAAATTATTTTCAAGTCTTCTGAATTTGCAGACTTCTGCAGTGTCTTAGATTAACTGTATCAGAGATACAGTGGTAACAGAGCTCTAGGCCTGTTCTATTTCCCCCTACTCTTTTCTTTAAGGGGCTTAGTGGTACAGTGGTTAAGCAGTTGGTGTCTAACCAGAAATGTGGTTTAAACCAGTCAGCAACTCTACAGGAGAGAGATGTGACAGTCTGCCTCCATTAAGACTTTAAGATGTGGAAACTCTTTGGGGAAGTGGTGCTCAGTCCAGTAGTGCTGCTGGGAGTCACAGTTAATTCAAAGCCAGTGGAATTTTAAATTAAATCAGGAAATAGAGACTAGGCTGGGGTTTTGTTCCCTCAGCACAAGCATTCTTTTTGCATAGAATTTCCATTGTCATTTCCAAATATCCAAACAAAGACTAATAGCACAGGGCTCTAATAGAAATACAAGATATTTCCAAATGCTCCATTTGATTTTTTAAAGACTTTAAGATACAAAATATAGATAATTCCACAAGCCTCAAATAGAATGGAAATTGCATGTAACTCAATATTTTTGTTAAAACATTCATAAATTTGTTGGCAATGTCATCTCTTTCAGTCCTCTAAAAATTTGCATTGGTTAGGCCGCATTTCTTCCACTTCAAGAGAGAAGTAGAATTCTTTTACATTTCTTTAGAAAAGTATATTGATATCCTACTCACATTTTGATTCCTTGATTTCAATACTTTGGAAAATACTGCTCGAATATGTTTCATTCCACTTGTGTTTTCTCTTATGTTCTACTATATTTATAAATATCTACATTTCTCTTCTGTAGTGAACTAAACCAATATTGAACAGTGATAATGCATGACGTAATAAATATTTAACATAATTTTAGTGTATTTTAGCCTTTTAAAATATAGCTCAATGGATTAAACATCCTTATTTCTGCTAAAAGTAAAAATAGCAGGTAGACCTCAAGACCCTTCTACTCATTCTTAGAAGAAAAGATTCCCACAGAACATTGAATTAATTGCAAACATGTACTTTTTGGTATTTTGCATACATGTTCCAATAAGTAATAAAACTTCAAATCTATTTTAATGCATTATATATTGGGCTACAAACCAAAAGGGCAAATAAATTCATTAGCTACTCTGAGGAAGAAAGTTCACGCAGTCTGCTCCAGTTAGGAGTTATAGCTTCAGAAAGTCAAAGGAGGGTTACTATAAGTTGTAATTTACTTGACAGCAGTGATTTTGTTAGTATTTCCAATCACAAGCTTGTGGGAAAGACCGATGGGATATGGCTGGTTTCTTCCTCTTCCTCTGTTTAGTCTCCACCTTCCTCCTTGCCACCGCATCCCTACCTAATGGCCAGATTCTCATGTCCCTTGGTTGAAATGGTGTGGGTTGCAGAGGTCTCCTCTCTTTTAAGCATGTTTTTACTTGCATGGCACATTGCTTTAGATATTTAGTGCTGGTGTAGCAAAAAAAATACATGTAGGTGGCTTTAATGAACCGCAGTTTGTTGTCTCACATTTCAGGGGTTGGAAATCAGTGTAGGGACGATAGTTGTAGGGAAGGGCTGTTCTTTGTACCATCTCTTAGAAATCTCTGCCACTATTCACTGTGTGTGAATATTTCATCAGTGTGTTTGTATGTGCTTGTATCTTGTATTTACTTTTTTTATACAACATTTGTCAGCAATGATTAGGATTATAACCCAGCCTTAATCGGCTCCTGAGAAATTTACAGCCTTGAAAAGCTGCCACAGGGTCAGTTGTTAGTTGCTTCCAATTCCAATGCGTTTGAGTTTACTTTAGTATGACCTCATTTACATAGTAAAAGAAAACCCATTTGACCAAAGAGGGTCATTTTCATCTCTTTAGACTTCAAGTTTTGGAGGGGAAGGAAATGTTGTTGTTATGTGCATTTTAGTTGCCTGTTTCTTACAGTGACTCAATGTACAATAACCCTGAACTCTGCTGCCATATCTTGAACCAGTCTCACTGACTCCGACTCACCTACCCCCTTTTCCCCAGTTACTGTGTCAATCCATCTAATTTGGTGTCTTCCTGTCCAGTGCTGTCCCTCAGCCTTTCCAAGCATTATGCCCTTCTCTAAGGACTGGTCTCTCCTGTCCATATGCCTAAAGTATGTGAGATGGAACGTCAATATCCTTTTCACCAAGGACATACTTGGTTTCACCCTCTCAAGACAGACCTGTTTGTTCTCTTGTCAGTCTATGGTATGTTCAATACTCTTCTCTGGAATCACAATTCAAAGTCATACCTTAGTCACTAGATAGACATCTTTGCTCTTTAGCACTTCAAAGAGGTCTCTGACAGCAGACTTCCCCAGTACAATTCATATTTTAATTTCCTGACTGTTGGTGCCAAGAATGTTGATTGTGGAGCCAAGCAAGCTGAAATTGTTAAAAACTTCAATCTCTTCTCCATCTACTGTGGTGCTGCTAATTGTCCCAGGAGTGAGATTCTTTGTCATCTTGAGGTTGAATTTAAATCCATAGTGAAGATTACAGTCTTTCATCTTCTGCAGCAAGCGCTTCAGGTCCTCCTCAGTTTCAGCAAGCAAGGTTGTGTCATCTGCATAACCCAGGTTGTTGATGAGTCTTGCTCCAATCCTAATGTCACATTCTCCTCATAAGGTCTAGCCTTCTGAATGTTCTGTTTCATGCACATATTGAAAATGTATAGCGATCGGATGTATCCTTGGAGCACTCATTTCCTGGTTTTGAACCATGCAGTGTTTCTTTGCTCTTCTGAGGACTGTTTCCTGGTCCAAGTAAATGTCTGGCATAAGCACAATCAGGTATTCTTGGATTCCCATTCTTCTCAAGGTTAGCCACAATTTGTTGTGATCTTTGTACAGTCAAATGAAACATAGATAGGCATTCTTCTGGTACTCTTTGGTTTGCCAAAATCAATCTTAATTCAAAGCGTTTTACTCTTTTAAAAACTAAGTTATTTTATATTGGTTTGCAGATAAAATTTATATACATTGAGTTTCATGCATTCCTTCTTTCATTCCCATACACTGTATTTTATAAAATTAATCACTGTTAAGCTGTGCCTACCATTACAGCATCTTTGCAGGTCCCCACTAGATCTTTCCCAGTCACCTGCTCACTCTAACCACCAAATTCTTCAATTCCATATTTTCCCCA